TCTGTGGCCGCTACGGATTTTGGCAAACAACCCTGTCAAAATCACAGCTAACCAATAGGAGGCCAGGTGTACCTTGCGGAATAAGCAGTATCGACAAAATTTACTATTTAGAGTTACTCTTTGGTTTATAAATACGCAAACCTCACGGCTTATATAACATTACCTGAACAATAACATGTACTTCACTTTATTAATTATAGAAAAACATTTTTTGGGGGGAAAGCAACAGAATAAAATAGATATATCATGGTTATTCAGCACCTACATATTAGCTACGTCAGTGGACGGGACTGCCGGTGGGACTAAAAATCAGCCCGGGAATAAAATAGTCCTCGTTGCCATTCTGCACCAAAACATGCCGATGGTGTGCCATATCATTATCAGATGGTGCACAGTTAGTACATTTGTAAAGTTATTTAGGCAATCTTGTTGGTGGGAGTTATGGAGAGACCCGCCCTTCCAGGTGTGATGTGTGTGTGGTGTGTGTAGTGTTTGTGTGTGTGTGTGTGTGTGTGTGTGTGTGTGTGTGTGTGTGTGTGTGTGTGTGTGTGTGTGTGTGTGGGTGTGTGGGTGTGTTTGTGTGTGTGTTTTCGGTGTGTGTGTGGAGGGAGTACGAGACGGTAGGAGTTGTGTTCGAGTGTGGGGAAAAGTCATAATGAGTGTTATACTATTGATTGGTTCTGTAAGGCGTGGCTGTGGCCATCAATACCAGAAAATAAAGAGAACGTTTTCGACATTGAAGGCTCGAGTGATCTCTGATCTTGAATAGCGGTGAACGCTACAATATGAACAGCCTCATGCTTGGCCCACTGGTATTGTTTGTTTATTTATTTAGAAAATTAACGAGCAACGCCGTGCTGTCATATAGCAACTGCTAAGCTACTGCAGCAAAATAATCCTGGCGCCGCCCATGACCACATATGGTGTTCTTAGTTTCCATACCTCCTGTGTTTTACGAGCGACTTATCAAGTCTTGGCAAACGGCATAAAACACGATTAAACGTGATAGTAAATAAAACCATGCTCGTATCTACAACCTATAGAAATGCAAAACGGCGTCAGTTTAGACGTAATTATGCTTACCGCATCAATTATGAGAATACATTTCTTAACAAGAGAACATAATCTTGGTGGTTTTAAATAACATCTGTTTGTATTTATTTCTCAAGTTATGTGTTTGTGTGCACTGAGGAGTCTCAAACAGGCGTTTGTTTAATCATTTTAAGATTGGCTCTGATCAATGTTTAAAAAATGAATTCATATATGATAAATGAGGTAACATTTTATTTATGGGATTATTTCCACATATTTCTCTCTATTCTTCCTTCTGCCAACGGTGTTGCAGTTTCT